TTTTGTCCTATATTGTTATATCAGTTTATGCATAGTATTCCTCAAATTTACCCAATATTTATCCTACCCAAACACAAAGTTTTTCTTGGGATGGGAAGATGAGTGGAGTGTGGGGCACAAAATCCTAGGTGAAAGACATGGCCATGTGTTTTGGAAATAGCAGTAGTCCCCTGAAATGTCCAAGTTTGATTTTACAAAGGACTAAAATCTGTTATTATCTGTTGATAACACATTATAATCATGTATTAGTTAAAGTAGTTAAAGAGAAGGAAGTGGTAATCAGAGAACAGAACTATCTTCTTTGCATTGAAACTGAGTAGGTGATAGCAGTAGCTTTTTTACAACCCAGAAAAGATAATTCCTGACCTGTTTGATAAAGTGTTGCTGTGAGCTGCTTTCTCAGTTTTTCTTATTCCAGATGAATGGTGGTTCACCTCATAGAAAAATAGTTGAGCTTTCTTATATATTTATTTTGCTTTCCAAGAAAATCTGACCACAGGGACAGATTTTTCTTCCTTATCCCCATACTAAATGCATACTAAAACCAAGCTAAGTTAGTTTACCCTTTATTTTTTTTTTCAGATCCAGGTGCTCACAGGAAATACTCAGTGGGTGGATATTGACAAGGAAGTGGATAGAAGTAATTTGGGACTCAGAGCTGGTTATCATACATGCTAAAACTAGATTGAAACACAGATAAGGACATTTTTGTATTTATCTTCCTATCAGTTTTACATCTTGACAGACTTCTCAAAAATGCCTCTTATTGACTTTGATAGTGTTTTACTGAACACTTTGATTAGTTTCAATTCCACTTCTATGGACTGTTGGATATCTTATAGTCAATAGTTTGATGGCTGTTACCTTGCTACACTTAAAAGAGACTCCACATGCTTTTAGGTAGCTGAAAGGAGTTCTTAAATTCACATAAATGGAACCAAATTAAGGAATTGTATATAAGGCTTGAATTTGTATTTTGTTTTTCAGTCTAAACCTGTTAGTGATTGTCTCTAGTGATTAGTCATTACCCCAGCAAGCAATTTGTAATTTGTGTCTCTGAAACACTGTGTTAATAGGCTCATTTTTGGCAGTACTTTACTATTCTAGAAAGTTGTCCTAGAAGACAACTTTTAGCTTAAGAAACTTTTATAGCAAATTGTACTATCGTAGTGCCCAGTGTCTGTTTCATTTAATGACTTGTTGTTTATCCCTTTCTAGTACTTTGCATGTCATTTGTTCAGTAAATTTCATCAGTGTATCTGGAATTCCTCGGGTTTTGACGTAAAATGATTCTGTGTCATTTTCACAGGACCCAAAGTCAGTCTTTAGCCAGTTAGGCTAACCTCAAACTATTGCTAGCTATATTCACTGAATTCACTTTCTCTTAAAATGAGAAAAACTAGTGATTTCCACTTCAATTTAAAAGTTGAATTTGAAGATTTTTTTTTTGTGTCCCTGATCCTGTAGAGTGGTCCTTTAGTAACTGAAGTTCCCACCAGTGCATTCCTGTCTCTTACTGATGAACTACTCTCTACTTCAGGACCAGAGATATCAAAAGGTGGTGTAGAATTTTCAATCCTCAGTTTAATGTAAATGGAAAGTTCTTTAATGTCCTCTACTGGATATAACAGATCTGAACTGTAGCATTGTATTTGCCTCAGCAGCATACTTTAGGTAGTGGACTGTTAAAATTTCCCTGCACTAACTTGTATTTACACACCCAATTTGTTCTCCTTGGTTCTAGAAGAAATCCCATCCAGTAGTACTTCAGCTACCTCTGGGAAGACTTGTTCTGTAACTTTCCTCCCAGAATCATTTACAAGGAAGTCGCTTCTATCCCATGCAAAGACTGGAATCATTTATAAGGGTAACACTTAACCTCAGTGTCTTGACTGAAAAATTCAGCTAGTTCAGCAGCATATGATGAGTTTAGCTGCGCTTCAGGAATTTTGAGTAGTCACTCTGTCTTTTTAAGATGCTTGTATCTGTCATCTGTATCAGAAGGGTTTTCTTCAGTCAAATCTTCATAATGTCCTTTTTCCTAACCCAAGTCACAATCTATAAATACTTGGCAGCTGATGAAAGGCTAAAGAGTCTTTTGTTTCATGTGGACACAAGTTTGTTTCTGGTATAGGTCTGCTGAAGAAATCCTCTCATGTTGTCCATGAATGTTTGTCCAATTATGAGGTCTGGCCACTGTTGCTGAATGTAGTGTGTAAGGTTTTTGCTCTTGATTACTGCTCTTGTCATATTCAATCTTAATTATTTTTTTGAAAATTCAGCCCCCAAATCCTTAATACTAAAGCAAAGTTTGTATTTTCTAAAACCATTTTCCTTGCTTCAGTTATTAGTCAGTGTAGTTCCCTAAAAGCTTGGTCTCTCTGTGGTCCTTTAAAACTGATTAGAAGATAAAATTTATCTTCTTAGAATTATTAAAAAAAAAGAGCATCTTGATTTTCACTTTATCGTTTCAGCTTTCGATTGGAAATGGGTCTCTGTGGTTTGGCAAAGTAACAGTTCTTTGGTTATATAGTTCCATTTTGTTACCATGGTAGATCTCTGAGCTGTGGTTCCTGATCTGATCTGAACTTGCTTGCAAAGTCCCAGTGGAGGAAAAGAAAAAAAAAGACCCAAGCCCCATAAGCCCAAAGAAAATCATTGCACAACTATTCTGGCTCCAGGCAGTTGCATCTTTTTTTAAAGAAATTTATCTGCATTAACAAAGAGAGCTGTAATTACAAGAGAGTATCGATTCTCTAACACAGTCCACTTAGGAGCTCACAAAAAGTCAAAAATGCAGGGTGTTTCAGAGACTCATCGGTGACCAAACATGTTTATTAGGTGGCAGTAATCAGTTTTGACAAGAGTCACAAAGGACAAGTCATCCTGTAATGGGTCAAAACTTTCTTCATATTTTGTGGATGAGAACTGCTGTCATGTAAATTGCTGTCATCTACAATCATGTGGTAAACTCCGGCATTAGTAACTGAACAGTTACAGTGATTTGCCTTAAATCACTCAGTGCTTCTCATTACCTTCTCACCCTTCCCCTTTGTCAGGGATCTAAGCCTAAGCAGAATATTCAAAAATAAATTCTTGAAGATACTCTGCCTATCCCCAGAAGAATTGCAATATTTGTGAATATATGAGAAGGTGAATTTGCTTCATCATATTTATCTCTTCCCAGTCTGCACAGGAGGTGGAATTGACCCATACCTGTCACCTCCTAGTGAAGTTTGTCTTGAGGATGTGCAGGTCTCAGGGTTTTCCAAGCACACAGAACAGGAGGAGTCACAAGCAGCAATAAGCATAGCAGCTATCACAGTTCTGTCACTGGTGTTACTGAAATTTTTTGAGTACTGTGTACTAAATGATTAATTACCTAGACTTTGCTGTGAAAGGCCATTCATTGCTGGCAAAGTTAGTAAAGTAATACCAAGCAGCACACTACACTGTGTAGTGGGATGCATCATACATATGTACACTTGTGGTAAGTCATATCAAGGTAAAATAATTCCAGCAGATGTCTTATAAAAAGTTCAGGAAATATGGAGATGTATTTGAAACTCAGATGTTTCCCAGACACTCCACACCCTAGGTTTATAGAAGTTGGAAATATATTTTGTTATTTAATGTCAATGCAAATATTCTTTCATTAAACCACATATGACAAAGCCTTAGTTGTGGCCACATTCTGTTTGCTACACTACAGAAGTAGAAGCTTCTGGAGTGGAGCTTTTCAGCCATAACTAAGTGGCATGAGGAAAGAGTTAAGAGTCTGAAGAACAGGAAGAGCAAAGCACAAATGTGACTAACAAATAAACAGAATCAGAGAAAAGCAAAACTCAAAAGCAGTGCCATTTCTGGAGTTTATTTTAGTACAAGCTGTAAATTTCTCCTTGGATGCACTCAAAACACAACTGGACAAAGCCTTGAGCCAAATTCTATGTTGACCTTTGTGGAGGGGATGGATCTGATGGGCCTTAGAGGTGGGAGATGTCAAACTAGATTCTGTTTTCAGGGAGCACAGAGGTACAGTAACTGAAGTGTAAGGCTACTGATACTTTAAGCATCTACAGAGAAAAAGAATTAGATGATTGTCAGAGTTCTGATAGAGATGTGATTTTGTTGCTTCCTAGCTGGAAAGACAAAGGAGAAAAGTATCTCTTCTGTAAGCTGAATTGCACAGGGTGCATCCAGAATCAGTTATTGATCTTTGTTGGGTCTGTTTTACATTATTCATTCTTCTAAATGAATGTGCCTCTAGTTGTTTTTGTTTTATATCCTGGAGTGCATCAAACACAGCATGACCAGCTGGTCAGAAGAGGTGGTTGTCCAGCTGTATTCAGTGTAGGTGTGGCCTCACCTGGAGCACTGTGTGCAGTTCTGGGCCCCACAGTCTAGGAAGGATCTGAAGGTCCTTGAATGCATCCAGAGGAGGGAAAAAAGGCTGATGAAAGGGCTGGAAGTAACATTCTATGAGGATCATCCGAGGGCTTTGGCCTTGTCTTATTTGGATGAAAGGAGGCTGAGGGGTGACCTCATTGTTCTTTACAGATTCCTGAGGAAGGGAAGTGGGGAGGGAGGTATTGAGCTCCTCTACCATGGTATCCAATGATGGTATGTGTGGGAATAGTTCAAAGCTGCACCAGGGAGGAAGCATTTCTTTACAAGAGGGTGGTTGAACACTGGAACAGACTTTCTAGAGAGGTGGCTGATGCCCCAAGCCTGTCAGTGTTTAAGGGTCATTGCCCTTAGTAACAAGCTTTAACTCTTGGTCAGCCCTGAATTGGTCAGGCAGTTGGACTAGATAATACTTGCAATTCCTTTTCAACTGAAATATTCTATTCCTCTTCTACTATATTCTGTTCTGTTTTGATACAGGGTTTCACAGAAGGAAGAAATCATTTATCTAGAAGATACTATGTTAATTTGTAGCTATCAATAGCTTTCTCTTTTAAGTTACCTGGAGTACTGGAAACAAACATACAGAAGGAAAAATGGATCCCTTGTCTTGGCCATCAGAACCTAACAGCTTTCGACGTTTCACTCCTGAGTCCCTGAAAGCAATTGAGGAGAGAATTGCTAAGAAGAAAAATCAGCAAAAAGAAGTTAAAAGGGAGAATAAGGACCAAGGAATTGAAGAAGAAAAGCTTACTCCTCAGCTTGATCTGAAAACCTACAAAACGCTGCCATCTCTGTATGGGGACCTCCCTGCAGAGCTCATTGGTGAACCACTGGAGGATTTTGATCCATACTACAGTGATCACAAGGTTAAAGCTTTCAAAACCAATTTTTAAATTTAATTTTGTCTGCTGTACTCTCTTAAGCAACTTTAAAAGCTGTATTCAGCTGATGCTGGGTTTAGTTTGTTCTGTACACAGATCCTTGAACATTACTAACATGTTTTGGGGCAGGATTGCTAAGGTATGCTCTGCATTATGTAATGAAAGGATATTTTAAGTTCCAGTCAGCAATCAGAATGAATTATGAGGACATGATACATATGATCGATACACTTCGATAGGAAATATATTCTGGGATAAGTATTTTCCACTTTTTTCTCCAGAGCAGTTTCTATGATGCCTGTGGGCCTGAACTCCCTGTTGTATGAACAGTGTCTGCCCAACAGGAACTGACACTGGAATTGCTGACTTACTGCAGGTGCTTTTTCTGAACTACAGATAATATTCAAATTAAGGAGACAAATATATTTGGAAATTTCCAGGACTCTCAATAGCAAACCCGTGTGTTTTCACTGTAGTAAATTAATTTTCGGTTATGTTATGTCTCGTTGGCTTTGTTTATTGTGCCATATTTATGTTGCATATGCTCCATGCCATTGTGAAGTGTTTTGTGTTGTTACCTGGAGGAGTGTATAAAGTAGATGCTCAGGGAATCCCTTCTAAATTAAGTGTCTGTTGTGTGATTGCTTAGTGTCAAGAGGGTCTTGTCCCAAAGAGTAGAAGGTTCCATCCAGTCCTACATTGCTGTCCTTATGTATATCAGCAAGTCATTGGAATGTAAATTTAATCAGAGAATATGCAGAAGGCTTTATTCTTCCAGGGATATATTTTTCTCAGAGTAGTCAAAGTGAGATTGTTGATGAAGAGAAAATAAGACTGATTCAGTTGAAGAAATTTCAATTGAAGTTAGGAAACTGTTTTTCATTCAAGAGATTTCATTTTTAATTCATATGGAAAAAGTGCTGAGCTGCACAAACCTTCCTATAGCTTAGAAAGAATTTACACAGTTACTTGATAATTTAGAGGTATTTAAAAATTAAAAGTTTTGCTCTGACTATCCAGGATTTTGGCAGTCCTACATAATGCATATTTTGTAAATAATCTTTTGCAGCCTGCAAAACTGTCCAAGAGGAAGGTATTAAGACCATTGTTACAGTCCCAGAATAGAAGTTTAATTACTTCGACCAAGTGAATGTCTTCTTAGTATCCATTTCCATTACTGCTTCTTCCTCTCAGGCAATAATGAACTTTTATATTGCTGCTGCCATTCCTTCAAAGTGTATTTCATCAGGTCACAGCTCCAAGGAAGAATACAGGAAAGCTTTACTCATAATTGCAGTTAGACATAGTTCTAGATGCAGACTTGAAAAATTAATTTTGGGGGGAAATCTTAATTCATTTAAATGTTTCATATGCTATAAATCTTTTTTTTTAATAGACTTTTATGGTGATAAATAAACACAGGACTATTTTCCGGTTTACTGCCACACCTGCCCTGTGTATATTTGGTCCTTTTAATCCAGTCAGAAAAACAGCAATTAAGATTATGATCCATTCATATCCTTTCATTGGTTTCCCTTATTTGACTTTTAAAACATTCTGTACCATTTTCTGTCATTCTGTTCCTCTGCTTATATTAATGTGAGTGTAAGCTTATATGGCTCTGATAGAGATTTATAAAAAGTTATACTGAATCTCATTTTGCAACAGCTAATATAGTTACAGGATGTTGGTACAAGTAAAAATGTAAAAAGCTTTTATTTAAAGTCAAATTTGCAGATATTGGTATGAAACAACATTTAGAGGCTATTTTACGATATTTTAGTCCTTTTCTAGAACTTTTTCTAAATCTCTGCTCTGATGACAAGCTTAAATTGAAAACAAGCAAACCAAAACAATTACTCCCTAGTAATTAAAGTATGAAAAATGTGATTTGTGGTGAAACTTTGCTGAAAGAGAATGTTATTCTAAGAAATATATTACCCCTTAAGTTTGGAGAGTTCTGAAGAGCCCATTTTTTTCTATTTTTGAAAAAGTATAACCAGCATTTGGAGAATGTCAGAATGTGCAGGATTTGCAGGTGCAAACCCATTGGCTGAGTAGTTTCTGTTATTTCTGCCATTTCTGCCAGGCATCTGTTTTTATTTTGAATTATTAACTTGTAAAATGGGTTCTTTTTTTGGGGACTTATGTCTGACTTCAAATGCATGTTCATGCTATTAGAAATTACTAAATTTGCTATTCAGTTTCAAATAATCTGTAAATTTAAGGCCAATGTTTGTTTAAAAAACCCAAACATTTTTATTAGGTGACAAGTGAACTTTGATGAAAGGATCATTGATGAAATTGATCTTATGTCTGTTTTCATCAACTATCACATAAAGTGAGAAAGTTTTCAGAACTCATGCAGACCATAGGTGTGTCCCATAAGCACGTAGATATGTATTCCCAGTCTCAAATAACAGTGGCTATTAATAATTAAGATTTCTCTTGTTTCCATAGACTTAAACCCTGTAGTTATTATGGGGTTGTGGCTCATTTCTCTTCTTCAAGCAGGAGTTTAATCTGTTATGAGTTTGCAGATGAAAAGTCCTAAGTATGTTCAAAACCAAAGTAATTATTTTTGTGTGTGTGGAAATCAGCTTTTATGAACTTTGTTGTTTTATAATGTAGCATTTTTTCCTTAACTTACTACTCACAATTTTTTTTGCCATTATTACATGTACCGTGTTACTCAATTGTGCTGTTATGACCCAACCTCAGCTTCTGGAATCACTCAACTGGACTGAGTAAGTATCTCACTGACCATACATTCACTCTATTTCTAAGGATGCTAACATGCAGGATTGAAACATTTAAATATCGTGGTGATCTAGTTCAGGGTCTTGAAAATTCTCAGACCTCTGAAGAAGACTGATTATTGTTATTATATCACACATTCTTTTGTGGAACTTCAGTGCCTTTTCTTAGAGCTTTATACCATATGCCCTTTTCTCTGTGTTGGCTAATTTTGCCATCTGGTGTAACATAGAAGGTTGCCCCATTTTTCCTTTTAAGAATTAAGCCTTTTAGAGTGATTGTGCAGCAGGATCTTAACTTAATATCTCCCTTTCTACAGCATAAACCTGAATGTCTGTTATGGTTGGCTCATGAAAAAGCTACAAAGGGATAAATTTTCATTCTGTTCTTTTTTCCTGTTTCCTAGTGTCACTCCTAGGTCAGTTGTACCCATTAGGAAGCCATGTATTTGTAATGTCTTGCTCCCTTTTGTACTTGTGCATTCTGTCCAGTGTTACTTGAGTTAATGTTCTAGAATTAAGTCTTGAAAATGTGTCTGGAGCCTCAGAAGTCCTATAATTTTAATTCCTTTTCTTTTGGGGTAAGCATGGTGATAACAATAGCTGAAATTTCTGTAGGATTTCTTTCAGTTATATTGTATTTGTCAGAATAAATGTATAAAATCTGCAAGCTTACATGCTGAAATAACTCTTTGCTGTTATTGTTCTGCCAGAGTGTTGGAGGTTTTGAAATTTCCCAGCCTGCTTTAGAACATAAACACAGTCTTAAAAATGTTTCCTAAGGAAACATGAGCTATACCTCATCCAGAAATAGTATTGTGTGCCTACATGAACATTTGTGATTATAGATTTACATGGAAATCTAACTAAAATTCAGGAAAACATCCTCCATGATGCTTCTGAAAGTAATGTAACCTGTGCTATTTAACTTACATTTTCTACCTTTATCTCCATGCAGGGACTAAATTGTAGGAAAGATAGAAATGTGCCTGAATTTGTCTCAATCTCATTAATATTTTTATTTCTATAACTTTAATATGCACTTTCCTTCTCAGATATGTTTTTACTGCCATATATTCTACTGAAATAGGGATTAAAATAATGGCAAGAGGATTTGTTTGGAATGAATTTACCTTTCTTCGAGATCCATGGAACTGCTTGGATCTTTCTATTATTATTGTAATGTAAGTAAAACTCAGTTGTTCCTTTACACTCAAGGGGCAAAAACACAGAAAAAATACCATTTGATCTTGCTGAAATCCCTTAGAGTGGTTGGAATCCTACCTGCTAAAGAGTTACTGGGCCTGAACCACCATTTGCATATCTGCAAAGTGTAATTTAGGCATAGACTTAAGTAAGACCTAAATGAAAAGCTCTTAGAACTGTGTGATTGTTCGCAACTTAGTCCATACTTAAATTTTGGCAAGAGGCAATTGCATGGACAGCCCAAACCAAGCCTTGCCTCTTTATGTTGTTGTAGTTGTACTCTGAATCAGATGAAACTCATTTGAGAAGGATCAAAAGTGGGTCACAAGGTGTTGAATGACTTGGTGATAAATAACAGATGAAATCCCAAGACTGTAAAGTGATGCTGAAGGAAGAACAGACCTTACACGCTTCTGGACTCTGAAATAGCTTTCACTTGTTGGGAAGATGGTAAAATTAAAATAGACAATCTTGTGAAAACATCACTCCAGCATGCAGTCATGGGCAGAGAAAGAAGTAGAAAATGGGGACAGTATGGGTAAGAAATAAAGGAAGAAACAGAACACACAATTGTTTCACTGTGTGCCCTGTTCTTCACGACTATATGTAGCTTTGCTTCTGACATCTCTAAAGATGTCAGAATTAAAATAGATACAGTGAAGATGTATATCTGTAATTCCATGTCAAAGTCTGTGACACAGAACCAAAAAGGGATATTTTTTTTCCCTACGATGAGAGCTAAAGGCACTAAATGAAGATGTCAGATGGCAGAATTAAAAAGAAGGGAGAAGTTTTCACACTACATGTAGGTTGTTCCTTATTTGTAAATAATAAGTTATGTACTCAGGTGTCATCAGACAAATCTGTACATATGTGAACAGGTATTCTTATGGCTAATCTATGAACTGCTAAGGTTCATAGATTGTGAATTGTCAGCAGCTAGTAAGTAGTCCAACAGTGCCATGCGATTTCATTTATCGTCCTGCTTCCCTCCCCATACATCTAATTAATTTGTGTTCAAGCAGATATAAGCACTTTGCAATCTTGTATTTCCTCCTGTTCTTTTCATGTCATATCGTGCAACAAAGAAAACAGTTTGGAAATTAGTTGACTCTGAGTTAACACTATTAACTCAACTGCAGTTATTACTTAAGGTGCTTGAGAATTGTTCAATCATACAAGCTAGGCAAAGGCTGTGTGTTCTGATCTGTCGCTGACAAAGACATGCCTAGATCACCCCCAGAGCTCTTTTCTAACCATTGTTTCTGTCATTTTGTTATTGAGACTTTGTATTTTGAGGAATTCTGTTACCAATTATGACCTTTTCAATGAGATGAGTCACAATTCATGTCCATTCTGATGTGAAATAAGTCTTATAAAATAAAGGGTAACCTGTTAAAGTGCTGTGTAGAATATGCAAATCTTTAAATATTAATTTGCTGGAATTTTCAAATGATTGAAACAATTAGATTGAAATTATTTTCAATACTCAAGTTCTCAGATGACTTATAAGAAAGGTTAAATAAAAATAATAACAAATAAAGGTAAAATAAAGGTTAGAAAGAGCCATGTGGTATATAACTTAACATATTGTAAACCTAATTTTGCTCAACCGCTTTCTCCTAAAGTATTTATTGTGTTGTGTGTTAGCAACATATACTTTCATGTGGTGTTCTAAATCAGATTAGCCTCATATTAGAGTGTGCTTATGACATTAATGTTTCATATTTATTTGACATTTTGATGGATAAACTCTTAACAAGTTAAGCATCCAAATCCACACTAAGTGTTTCTTGGTGCTGTGTTTCTTTTCAGAGGCACTGCTCCAAAGTCCCATAATTTTGTATCAAGGCCTAGAAATGGACCAGATTCCTAACTGTAGACATCTACCTTGGGATATGTTTGACCTGGGTTTTTCCTGTAACTTACTCATTACTGTCTGCTCAATATGCATATGCTCTGAAAAGCTACATCTTTGTCATTCAGTTATTTGTGGGTTCATTTTATAGGTATATTACAATCTTTCAAAGTACAGGCAATGTTTCAGCTCTTCGAACTTTCAGAGTACTGAGGACTTTGAAAGCTATTTCAGTAATACCAGGTAAGGAGCAAGATAATGTGTCTTACTGATTTTCTCTCTGCTTCGCCAGTATGCTAATTCTCATATCTTTCCTATTCTTGTCTTCAGTTTTCTGGTCACATTTTGTGACCGCAAGAGATCCCAAGGTGTGCGTGTTTTGCAGTCTGTAGTAACTCTCAGCAGCATCCTAACAGAGTTTTTTTAATCATATTTCCTTCATATGGTTTTGACAAAGGCAATTTTTTGTCCCAACACTAATGTTCAGTTTTACTTAGCCCAGTCCCTTTTTCTTTTTACTTTAGTCTTTCTGGAGCTGCATACCCTATTTGATAGGTTCTCTTAACATAATATGGTTATACCGCCCTATTTCTGGTTTCACATTCTACTTCATTAGTTTAATCTTCTCTGGTTTATTTCCCAGAATGTTGACTTCACAATATTTGAGACTTTCATTCTTTTCCTTACTGACCACAGCCATTATCTGTATTGAGCATAATACTTTCAACAGTATGTTGCATGTGCCATCCAGATATTCAATATTTTTGTAAGTCATGCCCCTAATTAGGATAACAAAGTATGATTTCAGAGTCTAACTGCAAAAATTCTTTTGAAAATATATAAATTGCTATATAACCAGTTGTCATAATATATATTAACTTTATAATTTCTGTGTAATTGCAAATATGTGTTTTCATTTTACTATGGAATTATAGCAGGAATTAAACATAGAAAGTGTTTAATTTTTAGTGTCAAAACCACACGTCAATACTTTTTCTTTCATATTTATCATGGGTTACGGAGATTAAATGTAATTTTACTTTTTGTCTTATGAAAGGCTTCTAGAAAAATCCTGGATATCACTTTCTGCCTATGTCATATTTCGAATTCAGTTGTTCTGCTAAAATACTTGTCTTTAGTTTATTTATAACCCATTTTCTCTGAATGGTTGAGTTTGGAAGGGACATCTGGAGGTCATCTGGTCCAGCCTCACTGCTTTAACAGGGCCACTGAGGTTGCCCAGGACCATGTCCAGACAGCTTTTGAGTGTCTCCAAGAACTGAGATTCTACAACCTCCCTGGGTAACCCATGCCAGTGCTCGGTCACCCTCACAGCAGAGAAGTGTTTCTTGATATTCAGAGGGAACATCCTGTGTCTCAGTTTGTGCCCATGGCCTCTGGTTCTGGCACTAGGAGCCACTGAAAAACACATGGCACCATCCTCTTTGCATGCTGTCTTCAGATATGTGCATACATTGATGAGATCTCCCCTGGGCCTTCTCTTTTCTAGGACGAACAGTCCTAGCTCTTAACCTTTCTTTGTAGGAGAGTTGTTCCAGTCCCTTCACCATATTTGGGGCTAGTTGCTGGACTCTCCAGTATGTCCATATGTCTCTTGTATTGAGGAGCGCAGAACTGGATCCACTACTCCAGGTGCGGCTCCACTAGTGCTAAGTAGAGAGGAATGATCATAATCGTTGACCTGCAGGCCATGCTTTGCCTAATGTAGCTCAGGAGACCAATCATCACCTTTGTGGCAAAGGCACACTGCTGGCTCATGTTGGTGTGCCATCAGAACCCTCAGGATCCTTTCTGCCAAGTTTGTTCCAGCTGGGGGGTCACCAACATATATTTGTTTCCATCCCAGTGTAATAAATGTTCTTATGCTTTTAAACTGGAGGTATCTGTAAGGTGTTATCTTCTAAGGCAGAGATCCCGAGGCCAGCAGAAACTGTCCTTTATCATAATGTGTATTTGGCACTTGTTTACTCTTCATCAAGCACATTAATCTGTCCATACGGATTAAAGTTTGTCAGACTCCGCTTAGATACCTTCTTAATTTAGAATTTGCAAGTTAGCAAAATTAGTGTTAGAAGGAAGCAGAAACCGAAGAAGTTATGATTAGGAAATTAAGTAAAAATACTTTACTCACTCCTATGCTTTATTTGACCTAATTTAATACTCTCAACTTACAAATCCATTTACACTGATTGTTTTTAACATACTTTCAACTGTCATGTCTTGTCATATGGAAATGTTGCTGCATTCCTCCTCTCACTATGCATATTATTGAATCTTCCTTTTCTAGGTCTGAAAGTCATCGTAAATTCACTTGTTGAATCTGTTAAGAAACTTGCTGATGTGTTGATCTTGACTTTATTTTGCTTGAGTGTATTTGCTCTAATAGGCCTCCAGCTTTTTATGGGCAATTTAAAATCCAAATGTGTCCTCAATACAGCTGTGTACAATGACTCAGTATGTGTAGATCCCAAGATATATACAAGAAATAGTACAGGTAAATTTTCTTCTTTTCTCTCTTTACATAATCTGTGTATCTTCCTATGTGTGTCTTAATTTTTCACAGAGATGTTAAAATATATTTGCATGTATTTCTCCCAAGGAGGCTTGTCCTTCCATTTGCACAATTTGTAATATGAAGTCTCTGGGACAACTGAATGTGAGATTAGTGAATCTTGGATTTGGAGAAAGATTAGCAAGTCTGTAGGATAGAAGGGACTGAGTTTTCTCTAAGCATTTTCTTCCTTACCTGTACAAATTTTAGGGGTACTGGTGCAGAGAATGATTTTTTCTATTATTTATTCTGTATTTCAGGGATTATGCCTACATCTCACAGAGGTTCTTATTTCTACCAGAGATAAAATAAAATCTTACATTGTGAGTTGTGCAGTAAATAGTTACTATTTTTTTTAAAATTGCCATAGAGACAGATCTGCTGAGAATCAGCCCTATATGCCCTTAGTTGTGAAAGGATCTTTCACAGAGGTTTGATCCATCAGGGTGTTTATAGAGTGAAGTAATGTATGGTTTACTCTCAAAAGGCTCTAGAAACTGACAACTTCTGATTTTATGATTCCTTTTTTTTTTTTTTTAATAGATGTCTGCTACAGAGTGAATAACTCTTCTGAAATATTGCTCTGTGGGTACAGTTCAGAGCCCAAGTAAGTGTACAAAGCAGTTTTAGTACTTAATTTTTTTCCTCCAGATATACCATGGTTTTATTTTTGATCTGAAGGAATTGTGATGATTTTTCAGGAAGGAGGAGTGTGTGTGTCTGTGTGTGCGCGCGTGTGTGTGTGTGTGTCGCTAAATTAAAACCCAGATATTTCACGTCAGAAAAAGAATGAACTACTCAGATACAGAAAATTAAGTACATACTTTGTTGCAACATACTGGTAATGCAGAATGAGGAGGGGAACAGATCAGTAAGGAATTGTTAGGTATTAATAAACTCTCCTCACCTTGGTGAATTCTTTAAAAGTAAAGATATTTCCATTTTTCCTCTGTCTGTGTATTTGTTTACATGAGTCCACATCAGTGGCGAATTTTTGTCTAGTCATAAACTAAGGTTTCTGTCTAGTTTCTTTTGTCTAACCAAATGGCTTTTTAGGATGGTGTAATATAAAGCAGCCCTTCTGGCAGAATTACATTGGGGAATAATGAAACTGACTTTCAGAAAAAACAAACAAATCTTTATTTGATGTTGTGTATCACGTGATTTCAGGTACAATCTAAATCTCCAGGTAAGTATTGTTTAACATTTCTTTTGTGGCTAGGAATGAGTGCCCCAACAGCTATAATTGCACGAATATTGGGAAGAATCCTGACTTTGGTTATACAAGTTTTGATCATTTTGGCTGGGCCTTCCTTTCTGTATTCCGTGTGATGACACAGGATAACTGGGAGCGTCTCTACAGACAAGTGAGTACTTTTATTACCTGCCAGAGTGACTGTAGACATGCATTTCAGAGCTTTATGTCCACCAGAAAAGTCTGTACCTGTTTTATTGTTAGTGACAGCAAATTTCTTTTAAAATCAATATAAATATTAAGGAAGTAGATTCAAGTGACTAAGCTGTAACACCTTCTGCAAGTGACATTGGATGGGAGCAAACCTGCTGTGAATGCTAATGTTTTTGTTGGAGAACACACTCAGGTCAATGATTGAGTTCAATATTAGTATGTAACCACAAAGTGAGCTCACTGCTGCTGCAGGGATTGTGAGGACTTGTTGCATTCTCTGTTCCTCTTCATTTTAAGTCCTGTCTTCTCACCAAACCTTTTGGCTCAACATACACACTTGCATGTCAGATAATTTTTGACAACAGGTACTAAAAAAATTGAAGCCTTTATGTTTCGATTCAGAGTTGAATGTAACTTTTTAATTCTGGGTTTTGGCAAAAATGATACAAAAACTGTACACTGAGAACTCTCTGGATCCCTGTGCTAGAAGGGAATTATCCTCTGCCTTGTTCTGTTACTTTCATGTGGTCTATTTTAACTTCTGTTTCCATCAGCTTTTATAAACTTTTAAAATGGATACGACCTTCTTTTTTTTTCATTTGAAGGTCTCATGTATTTAATGTCTCAGAGGTTAATTTTGAGCCATCTCATCTGCTGTCATTTGAAAAATGAAAGAATAAGCAGTCAGTATAAATATTGCCTCTAATTGTCTAATTATAACATCTTCCACGAGTGTTTAGACAATCCTAGCTTTCATCTCTATTACTGAGTTTTATTAATTTCTTCTGTAGTCACCTGCTTATCTCTTTACAGCTGAAGTTGTCTTCTCATGACTTAAACTCTGATGATCATTTGCCCAGTTTGCTGGAAGATACTTGATTTAATTTTAAGAATGGGGTTTGTTAATTCTTCTCTACAGCACATGGCATTGTTATGATGGTCTGTTACATAAAGAGAAAACATTGTGTGACAACAGATAGGATTTTAAGAGCTGAAATGTATTTACTTCAAGTCCAGAAGAATTCCTGACTAGATGCATTTCTAGACCTTCTCTATAACTTAGACCAGATGCAGATCCTACTGTTTAATGAAAATAGTTCAGTACATTAACCTTTTGTATTGCATAGGAAAAAAGTTGTATGAAGTTAGTTTGAAATTCTTTTGTAAATGTTACTTTGTTAAGAATTTATTGCAACCTTTACCTTTTCCTCACAGACTATCCGTACCTCTGGAGTGACCTGCATTTTTTTTTTTATGGCTGTCATCTTTTTCTGCTCATTTTATCTCTTCAATCTGATCTTGGCTGTAGTAACTATGGCATATGAAGAGCAAAACAGAGCTACTCTTGCTGAAACAGTGGCAAAGAAAAAACTGCTTCAGGATGCCCAACAAATTATAGAGAAAGAACAGGTTTGCAAAGTATTATATAGAATATGTAGTTCCTTTTGTTTTCTTCTGTTTATGAATTAGGGGAGTAATGTTTTTAATTAAACATGTCTTTCTTACAATACTTGTTCACAGTTCATTTCTCTTTTTATAAAGGCATATGTGCATATATATTTAAACATAAAAATATTTCTGTGATAAAAAAAGACCAGCATGAGTCCAAGTTAAATTTTACTAAGTTTTAGTGTTTGCAGACCTCACATTGTATAGGAATGTTGTGCTGGCCAGTATGTATCTTTTATTTATTGCATAGGTGCTGCACTCCAAGGTTTGCCCTATTCTTGTACATTACCATTATTGCTGTGTACAGAAATCCCATTCTCTGGGTATTGCTTCTTGCTATTGCTGGGTAGTCTTAGGAAGGAAGCATGAGTGGATAAATTTGCATCCATAAGAAAAGTTGTTATTTCTGTTGTTCCTTGAGGTTGGAAGTTCTGATGCTGATGGATTTTAGGATTGATTACAAAGACAAGCTTTTCAAGAGCTATTGTGTTTAGCTGTTTAAGGGCTGTTGTTGAGTGTGTGCAGGAAGTCTACCAGCTGTCATGAGCAGGAAGAGTCTTTGGCCAGGTTGAAGCTGATAGTTCCATATTAAGTTCTATATTAATATAGAAGTATATCCAGAGTCTACATTAGTTTCTTTGCTGTTGGTTTGAGAGCTAGTAGACACACATCAGATTTCTACAGTGTTTCCTCTTGGCATAGTATTGTGCCACTCATTCATTCCTTGGTCTGTATGGGACCAGGGATCACCTAGTTTTGATTTCTGATAATCATCAAATCATAGAAACATAGAATGGTTTGAGTTGGAAGGAACCTTAAAGGTCATCCAGTTCCAACCCTCTGCCATGGACAGTGACACCTTCCACTAGCCCAGGTTGTTCCCAGATTCATCTGACCTATCTTGAACACTTCCAGGTATGGAGCATCCACAGCTTCTCTGGGCAAACTGTGCAAGTGCCTCACTGCCTTCACAGGAAAGAATCTTTCCTAACATCTAAATTTCTCCTCTTTCACTTTGAAACCATTTCCCCTTGTCCTGTCACTCCATGCCCTTGCCAAAATTCCCTCTCCAGCTCTCTTGTAGCTGCTCTAGGTAGTGGAAGGTGCTCTAAGGCCTCCCTGGAGTCTTCTCTTCTTCAGGCTGAACAACCCCAACTCGCTCTGTCTTCATAGGAAAGGTGCTCCAGCCCTCTGAGCATCTTCATGCCCTTGAGCAGGTTCTCATCCTTCTGAAATTTGGGACCCTGGAGATGGATGCAGCCCTGCAGGTGGGGTCTCATGAGAGAGGAGCAGAGAGGGAAAATCACCTTCCTCAACCTGCTGCCAACACTTCTTGTGATGCAGCCTGCAACACAGTTGGCTTTCTGGGCTGCAAACACACACTGGTGGGTCATGTCAAGCTTCTCATCCACCAGAAGTGAAGCTCTAAGCTGAGGCAACAAGCTAGACTGAAACTTATTGATAAGACATATTTTATCTTCTAAATATTACAAAAAGAGACCTCTGATTTCCTGCTAACAGCCACCAAAGCCAGATTTGTAAGATGACATAAAAATATTCTCTAGTACCTATCCAATTTCATGGTTAAAAATTAAGGCATCACCATATTACCAGGTTGCTCTTTTACAGCTATTGACAGGTCTGTAATGTTTCTGACATTCCACCTTGCCAAACTTTACTTAAACTTTTCTTCCTTCTCTTTTTCTTTTAAGAGGATTTGTAGTTAAGAAAAGTTTAACATTTTAGGATTTAGTTTGAGCCCTTAGTCTTCCATTGTCTTTGGACTCAAGGTCCTTTTCAAAGCAAGAAATAGAAAAGATACACCATAATATTCTGTAATTCAGATACAAAATACAGTATCTAAAGCAACAAGGGCAAACTTTAATTGCAGTAGCTGACAAGTAACCCTGCTTTGTCTTTCAGTATTGTGAATAGCATCTTGTACTCCTTTTTATAGCAGTATAACATTTGAAAGCTAGGAATTGCCAGTGCAAAGCATTCAGATAGCATAATAGTTAAATGTATAGGATCCTAGCCCATGCATAGGCATTTGCCTTATATTAATAGACAGACCTTTTGCTTTTTCTTTTAAAGCAGGTGGCTGCAGGAGAAAGCAGTGAGGCCTCACATGTCCGATCTGAAATGCCAGTCGCTGACTTGAAGAATTCAAAAGGAAAAGAGTTTGAAAAAGAAGCACCTGTTTTAAGACAAGACTTAATTTTAGGTGATCAGGACAAAGAGGAGCAGGTACTTAAGTCACAGCCTGATCACTGCCACAGGAAGCTTGTAAGTATTTGAAACAGAAGATATATGCATTAGACTTGCATGTGATATGACAATTCTATGAGCAGAAAAGCTTTCTTTGTTTGCAATTTACCCCCTCTTTTCTGTTTTTCTTTTCCTTGCTTTCATTGGATTAACTTGGTTTATAAAGCAATCTAAAGATCAGATTTCAGGGCCAGAGGAATACAGCACTGTATGCACTTGAAAGGGAAGTTGGAAGTGGCATTCAGTAGTACATTTGTGGCACATCACAGACATGTGCTCTTAGAGTTGTGGTAAGATCTGCTGACATCTCTGTGCTGCAGAATCAAATATAAAATCCTTAGGTTTTAGAGTTTCCCTAATGGTTTAACCTGATTTGGATTTTATTTTTTGTACACAGAGCTAATTCTCTGGCCTCAATATTTAGTGTTGGATTTAGTTCAGTATGAAGACTTCTGATGTTAGGAGTGTGGTTCTCTTATCTGACTATAAACATCTAGTGCCATTTTAGATGTTCTTGCGTGTGTTGGATATTCTAGATATCTTCAAGTCCTGTGGCATATCTTCCAGCTCTGTGTGGATAGCTCAAATACATTGTTGTTTCTCAAATCGATTTAGGCAACTGGATTGTGCTCCAGGGTTTGGGATTTTTTGCTGGTTTCTATGTGTGGTTTAGGTTCTAAACTCCCAGAGCTGAGTGGAGATTTAATTTTTTAAATCACAAATTGATACCTAGTGACATTAGAGGCTTTCAAGTGTCTTACTTGGCCTTCACCTCCTGTGCAGAAGGGTACGGGTGTGATGGACCATGACTGCTTAGTCAGACTGTGGATGTCTCAGATACCAAATGTCTCAATAGACCGTCTTGAATGGCTTCAGAAATGTATATTTAAGTGAATAAAATTTACCAAAAACATGTGCATCAATTATAATGGGATTTAAAATATATTGTGCACATGGACAAACTAAATGTAAGTATCTGAATATTAGGCTGAATCCCAAACATGCTATTTCACATCTTTATTACAGCAGTGACTTCCTCTGCTCCTCACTCCTTTCTAAATCCATTAAGAAACCATTAAGACTTGTTGTTCTTGCTTTGCTTAATTTTGGGGGTTTTTTCACTGTACATTTGACACTGACAAAATACCGTATCTTCTAGAAGACCATCCCAACTTCAATCTTTCTCTGGCTCTATGTAGACATCCATATTTAGATGCCTATATTTAGGTATTTTTATCTTGAGCTGAATCTTTTGAGATAATTCTGAGGCAATTATCCATATTACTGAAGTATTTTCAACAACACCTAAAAAGAAACCTTATACTGGTTCAGCAACAGCAATTCTCCAGTACAGGCTTGTGACTCAGACTACTAACAGGGTCCACTAGAAAAGTGGATGGTTATGTCAAAATAACACCATGACTGAAACCCTGGCTCCCAGCTGCACATTTCATAATACAGTCTGGAATTTCAAACTGGTCATCATTTACTCTCTCAGATGTGTTTCTTCCTTCCATTTCTTTGGTGAACATATACCATGACTGAGAAAGGTCTGTAGATGTGAAGAGCTGGAAATCATCACCAAAACATACGCTGTGCATTTTGATATTATCACTCACCACTCTGTCACCCAACATATTTTCGATGACACCCTCATGACAGTCTGTTTCACCCTGTGACAGATTTCCTCTTGCTTCTGGGAAAATATCAGAATTGTTCCACCCCTCACACAGAAAACTGAAATTTTCCAGTAGTAGAGCTAAAGGAGTAATGACCCAAATTCCTTCTATTTAAAAAGTGGGCTTGTAGAGGAGTCTTTATCAGACATATAATCCTAGCTAAAATGGATTAAGTTTTCATTCTGATGGTCAGCATGGTCAGAATTTCTTCTAAATTCTGTGATCTTAGCTGTATTAAATTATATATCTCAGCTGAAGGAGTCCAAATCACCCACTTGGCTGCAACTGCCCCTTTAATAAAGTATTTGCTTCTTATAATGTCATTAATGTTTCCCCTACTGTGTTAAGATTATAATTCAATTTTGTCACCTAATTTGGTTCTGCTGCACTTAAAGAAACACTCTGTCACAGCTCATGGTCGTGTATTATTGTACCTACAGAGGGAAAAAGAGGATCTTTTCATATCAGGTGTCATATCTTCTATAAATATAAAAATCACCTTTTATGGCTGATTACTCCTATTTAATTTTGTTATTCTAAGTCTGTGACTGTGGTTCAGGAGATGACTGAGCCAGGAAATAAATTTGGTTTAGTTCCTAGACCTCCAAGGATGCAAATTCTGCACAGATTGAATGCCAAAGGCAATCTGCATTTTCACATCTCAGAATTTACATTTTTAGACCCTTTCCAAGGTCCCTTCCTCTCTCTGAGTGCAGAGAATGGCAAAGTTATGAATATCTCTATCTAGAAATTTTTAGAATAGACTGCATTAGAACTTGGTATGAGAAATGTTGGGAATATACTTTTCAGGAGTATATTCTGCAGTTTAAACTACATTGCTGTGCCTGTTACAGATGACTCTACACTATGTGCATGAAGAATTCCAAGACACAGCTCTAGATAACTGTGCCTGTGTGAGATTCTGGTTGTAGTGTTACACTGTCTTACACATACTTACAGGTGATCATTTGACAGCAGAAGCAGCTATTTATCAGTCACAAATGTTCTTCAAGTTGAATAGTACACCCGTACACTCACTTCTCACTCCCTTACATCACAGTTCTCACTTTGTTCTACATATGTTGGCATGTCATATTAAAAAAACCACACCAAAACCTAAAGCATAATCCAAGGAGTGTGTCCTGCTCTGATGTAGAGTTCTACCATTAGCCAAATAAGTATAATCTGCAGCAAACGTGGGAGTTTATTGCATTGGAAACACTGGCTCTGCTGCAGCTGAGGACTCCTCCAACCATGTACTCTCTACTTTCATCACTAAAAGAGGCTAAAGATGATAAATCAAAGATAAAAAAAGCATATTGGGTAGAACTGTTTTGGTAGAACATAATCAGATTATAAAATTGAATGGACTGTTCCTCTAGTACATATCCCTATTTTATATCCCGATTTGCCAGAAGACTTCTCATCCCCCATTCTTTCCTTCAGCTAAAGACAGATCAGCACCAGTAACCAGTTCAGTGTTGGTGAACACTCAACCTTTCTAAAAAGCTCTGCTTCTAAACAGCTGTGAATTTCAACAAGAAGACTGAGGACTTTAGTCAGGATGGCACAGAAGTTTTTCTGGGTTTCTGTCTTCTGAGGCCCCGAACATAGAAAGGAATGAGAGGACAAGTTGTACTGATAACTGAGATGTGATTAGAATAGTCTAATTGAGCCTTTTGGATCCAGGGAAAATACAGAGAGAAAAATGGACATTTTAACACTATATTATAAATTCATTTTATATGTCTATTCTATGACAGTTCTATCAGCTAAGTTTTACTTAGCTTTTCAAGTCATTAAAATATTAGAAAGACAAAAAGAAATAATAATTATTAAACCCCTGAGACCAAGGATATCAGTTTCATTCCCCAAAGAACAGTTTTATAGAATATGTTGATAAAAATCATAATATCATAGAAGTTTGAAGTAATACAATATATCTTTACTCATATGCCCTTCCCAGAAAAGAAAATCTAGCAAATCAAGTTGTGCTAAGAGGGAATACCAAGGTACTGTGCATTATGATGTGGTCAGTCTGTCCACTCCCAGTCTGTCAGGTTCCCTGTCATCTGGTAGCTCTAATTATAGCCTCCCTGGTACTGAAATCTCTGTTCTTTCTGATTGTTTCTGCCTCCATATCCCACCTATTCTTTGCAGCCCACGTTTTAGGATTATCTACTTAGCCTTAATAGAGTGTGTGTGTGTTACTTGTTGTGAACTGAATCTTTGATAATTCAGTGTGTGCCTTAAGATACAGGTGTTGGCCTGTCAGTCCCTTCAGGAACGCTGAGCTGAGCATTTGGTAACTACTAATGAGTCCCATTTCCAGTTTTAGTGAGTTCAATATTAGTGTAGATCTTGATAGGTCTAAGAGGGTTGGGAAAACTACTTTTTATTAACTACATGACTATTTTCCATATTAACAAAAGTTTATTAATAATAATTGATAGTTCAATAGCCAATAGTTTATTCAAACTCTTGGTCAGTGTTCTTTTTGTTTGTTCTTTTCATCAGTCACTGGAAAGATGGAATTATTCTTTTCCTTTCCCCCCATTAATTTTCCTATACAATGGCATTATTATTGTTTTAAAATATTTTCAGAAGGAAACAGCTTCTTGAAAACATTTACTGGTTTTGATGAAATGTCCTTAGCGTTCAAAGGCAAACACATGATATTGTATTTTTTTGCTTCACGTTCTTTCAGCAAGGTGAAGCTTCACTAAAATGTGTATTTAAAACGCATATTTATCTCATGTTGGACATTAGATTTGTATTGCCAGTTCTTCATATTCCTGTGCTGTATTATCTTCTGTTGTCTTTTTCAACAAAGAGGCAGATCCTGATGTCCTATGATGTGTCAGTGGACTCTATTAATGATCCTCTGCGCCGACAGAGGTTAATGAGTGCAGCCACTATTATTACAGATAATTCACGTAAGTCATTCTTTTGTGTTTTTCTTATGGTGATTGTGTAACTTGACCTGAGAGATTAAAGTGTCACTAACAGCTGGCGTTATTTAAAAGTCAGGAAGATATGGGGAATAAGATGCAATTATGCTGCTAATGTAAATTTCAGTAAAATAAATATTCTCATATCTCACACAGTTGTATTTTGCAGTTTCCAAGGGTAAATTGTGCCTGACCAATTGCCCTGTACAAGAAGCTGACTGGGGTTTGTGGATGACGGGAGAGCAATGTGTTCATTTACCTTTACTTTAATAAGGCTTTCAACACTGTCCCCAGTGTGTTTTTACATCCAGTTTAGGGTGTTAGTGTCTGCATGGGTGGACAACCAGCTGGACAAAAAAATGATGGGATGTTTGGATTTTGACTGTCTGGTAAACAGGTCATATTCCCCCTGGAGGCAGGTAAGTGGAGTACAACAGGGGTGTATCATAGGATACACCTTGTCCTAAATGACCTGGAACAGGCAACAGAAGGCTTGCTCTTGTACTTTGTAGGTAACACCAAATTAAAGGGCTACCACTTGTTGCACTGGAGGTAAGGTCTACTGTCTAGAAGGACTTATGCAGGCTGAAGGAATGGGCTGACACAAACTTATGAAAATTCACCCAGTTTTCTTTTCAATCTTTTTTATGACTGATTGTCTTTTCTTCATTCTATGACATTCTACTTAGGATGATTCACATGTCATTTTCCCTCTTTCTCTGCTAGAATCAAAACCGAAATGTCCTACATTTTGGAAGTGTTTTGCTCAGAAGTATCTAATTTGGAATTGTTGTCCATTCTGGAAAGCAGTAAAAGAGAAGGTGCAATTGGTAATTTTGGATCCGTTTGTTGATCTCTTAATCATGGTTTGCATTGTCTTGAATACCTTGGCTATGGCTATGGAGTACCCTGGCATGCCACCCAATTACCAAATAATGATCTATAGAAGTGACAAGGTGAGTTAGGCCTATGTTAGAGTGACTATGGAGTTAAAACCATGTATTTATACTGAGACAGTCCCATAATGAGACATACCATTTTAGTGACTTTTTACTGAATTTCTTTTTCATCTTTCCAGGTCTTCACCCTGATTTTTACAGTAGAAATGATCTTGAAAATAATTGCTCTAGATCCTTACTACTATTTTCAGAAAAAGTGGAATGTTTTTGATAGCTTGGTTGTTTTGATTGGCCTATTAAGCTTTGAAGCAAATCTGTCATATTTAAGGCTGGTAATGTATTCTTTATTACTTTTTAAAAGTACTTTTGTTGTATAGATTTGTGAAAGATTACAGTGAAATACCCTTACATTATTTTACTGATTAATCTGTTAAATCAGTTTTCTTTGTTGGTAAATAGTAATCCAACATGAAAGTTTAATTAGAGAAAATACTAAATGAATATGAAAGCATACATTCAATATGTTTATTATACTGTGTATACTGTGTTTGGATGCTACAAATCCTCTGGAACAGTGTACTCCTGTGGAGATTTGACCTAGCAGAGAGTTCCCCGATTCTCTGTTAGGTCTGAATGGTGGCACTGCTCAATTGCAATTCCAACCTTCAGTCAGGGACAGGTATTATCTGAGTGTTTTCATGAGCTTAAGGATAGCAAAGGTTCCTTCACAGCTTTTCATTTTGAGTTGAGATTTATCAAACAGCAGAGCTTTCCTCAAGGCTTAGTCTTGGCCTTGAGAGCTCTTCAAGGCTTTTCTCCATTTTAGGGAGAAAGAGGAGTAGTTGTGAGATGTTTGTGTATAATGTTACTTTTTCTGCGTATGTCCTTACTGCATGTTTAGAATGCTAAATTTACTAATTACTTGTGATATTCTTCATAGATTTTCAGATGCCTAACACCTAGAAATGAAGTTCAGTTCAGTTTCACCTTATGTATCATGACTGAGAGATTTTCATAACCCTGAATCATAATTTGACTAAATATGTTCTTTTTACTCATGGGAATACATAGAGTAGATCCCATCTGGCTTTTCAGATCTTATTTTAAGTCTTTTGGGTGAGAGGTCTAAAAAAATATTTTGCTGATGACATTTGATTTAGTCCAAAACAGAGTAATTTCATAAGCCTTGTCCAAGTACCCATATGCCACTTGATTATATTATTGCTGTTATTGTTATTGCTAGTAATACTATTAGACTGTCACATGCTCATATCTAACTTAGAACAAACAATTTGGAAGCTTCCTCTGGCAGTTCTCTGTTCTCAGTAACATTAACCGTCTGAGCTTAAGCACAGCACTTTTGCATTATAACAATTAAAAGCTTTTTTTGGGGCAGGGAAATGGTGTTACTGCAGTAATGGCAGTGTGATAAATGCAGGGTCTGGTTTTTGTGTGTTGTGTTATCTAGACTGTGTTTGCCACTCACTTTTTTCTCTTGTGTTTTATTTACAGCTCAGAATCTTCAAGTTGGCAAAGTCCTGGCCAGCCTTAAACACTCTTATGAGAATAATTCTAAACTCATTTGGTGCCCTGAGTAACCTCACTCTGGTTTTGGCTATCACTGTATTTATTTTTGCTGTGGTAGGAATGCAGTTTTTGAGTGGTGACTACAAGAATAATTTCTGGAAAATAAGCACCAGTAAAAATTTGCGCTGGCATATGAAGGATTTTAGTCATTCACTCCTGATTATATTCCGAATATTATGTGGAGAATGGATTGAAACCATGTGGGAATGTATGGAAGTGGCTGGAAAAGCGAAATGTCTTACCATTTTCTTGCTAGTCCTGGTGATAGGAAACCTGGTGGTGAGTTTCAAGTCAATTTTCAGTTCCTTCTGAATGCATCTAGTTACATTGACAACTTTTTTTTCGGAGGCAACCTTTATCATTTGAAGAGTATTCACACTATTCTCTCTTCCAGATGTCACTTGACATATGGTTTTCTTCTTTTTTTTCCTTTTCCCACTGCCTTTCTCTTTCTAACACAAGAGGTAGAAGCAAAATAAAATTCCTTCCAGCCAGAGTATAAAAGTGCAGTGCTTCTGATAATTTGGGGTCTGATATCTTCATTTTTCTGTTGCTACAATCAAATAACCAAACTGTTCAGTGCTTTTAATGCTTATTTACTTATTCTTATATTTTCAAAAGTTTCCAGTACCCAAATTTTCTGGTTCATGTGACATGTACTAGATCTAATGTAAATATAATGGAAGGCAAAATCTTTTTCATCTGCCTCGTTTGTTGGTCTGTGTCAGATCCTTTTTGATGGTGGTGTTATTAAAATTCCTCTTTGCCTACTTTGTTTCAACCTATCTACCTCCTCATACATTATGGACATTAGAGCATGTGGAAATATATTTGACATACCCAAACCCTCAATTTTTCTTACTGCCATTACTTCCAGAAGGAGCCCTATCATACTATAATAATATTGCAGTGTAATAGTTAATAATTCCATTGTGGTGGTTGATGAAAGCAAGATTGAGGTTTTCTGAAGTGTCTTTTCTGTTAGCAGTAGTGTCTCCAACTTACTTTAACTATTTCAAGGTGCTCAACCTATTCATTGCCTTGCTGCTGAGTTCATTCAATACTGATGCCCCAGAGGGACAAGAGGAGCCTGAAGAAGGGACTAAATGTCAGATTGCAATTGCACGGATTTGCAAGGGCCTGAAGTCTGTGAAGGACAGAATTTTGGATCTTTGTAGCAAAAAAAAGAAAGGAAACCTCAAAAGAACAGACAAAAAAAAGACTTTGGTAGAAATTTCTGGCAAAGACGTAGAGGATAATTATGCCATGACAGATATCAGAAAATATATAGACCACAGTTGCTTTGACATAGAGTGTTACCATACTGAAGAGAGTTCCTCAAAAACAAGGAAATGTGAAGAAGTTTTAACCAGTCACAGTACCTGTGTTCCCATTACAGCAGCAGAGACTCACACATACACAGGTGATGATGAGCACATTGTATGCACAAAAAAAGAATACAGGAAAGAGGTAAGGAATATCAGTATTTGAAAAAATATTGTAACTTCTATCTGTAAATGCAATCTCAAAGATTCAACAGTGCATATTATGCCTTTTGTCATTTCTGCCATTTTACTTTCTTCATTCTTCCAGTACAAGGGCTACCAAATAGTCTTGGTTGTTCAATGAAATTTAAATATCCACTTCTTTCATCATTCTTCTCCTTGATAGCCATAATTCTGGTTTGGTCTGTTTTGTTTTCATCTATTACTGTTGACTGATAAATGAAGTTTGACCAAGACAGACATTCTTTCTTTTTGTATCCTTTGCCCTACACCTGGAACTTTTGGAAGGCAGGCCTCTTGTGTTGCTTGTGTGTTGCTTCTCAGTTGCATGGAATCCAAATAAAAGCAAATAAAAGCAAATAAAATGCAAATAAAAGCTGCACCTTAAAAAAATAATTTCTAATTTTTTTTCAGTCACCTATTCACCTCCATAATACTTTGAACAACCACCAAAAAGGACTTTATATCTCTTGATTTTGTTGTGTTGGGCAGGATAAAGCTCAAGTGTTTCTACACGTGAGCGAGACATTTATAGTGCCATGATAGTCAGTAATGGTGCAATTCATTTACTCATACATAGGCGTTTAGGGATATTTGAGATACTTCAGGTATCTGTCATGTCTACACAGACCTGTCAAATAAGACTCAGGAGCTTTAGGAACAGTTTTGGGCATCTGGAGGCCAGGAGTGTGTAGAAGCACCATAATGATGCTAGGCATCAGCCACATTTAGATTACTACATTTAGATACCTGAATCTCGAGGTTCCACATACCACTCACCTCACTGATGTCCAGTGCCATTTGAGGTGCTGGATTACCTCATATGGCTTCTAAGTGCACTTCCAAAAAGGTGTCTGGCAGTTCCTGTAGATCCTGTGCTGTATTTAACTATGCCATGTGTGTGCCCTAAGTACCCCTTAGGTATCTGAAGAAACACGAAGCAGTTCACGTCAGGCAACTGAATTAAACCCTTTGTGTCCTCACTCATTCCATAATGTCCCTTCCTGCATGTCCATGGTGCCCACTTTTGCACTTTGTCTCCTATTTTGCTTTCTTGATTTATATCTTTATTTTTGCTTTATTTTCTTCTCCCCAATAATGTGCTATACTTTGAATAAATTTAATTACCTTATTACCTTCCTTTGAGGAGAGTGGCATGTCTTAATGAAGTTCTGTTTGTGACAGCATTGCTACTGTTATTATATGTGATGTAATTGCTTAGGAAGCATAAGAATGCTGGTTTGACTAAGATGATCTATCTGCAGGAA